CCACTCGTCTCTTACAGGATGTTTTTCTGATTCCTTCTTGACCTGGCTGCCTATTGATTGTGCTAATGAGGTCAAAGTCAAGAAGTCTACAGCAAAGAATTTCTGGGATTCGATTTTTCAAAAGATAGATCAATATCTTGGATTTGGTTTGGTGTTTTTTCCTCTCTCTTAGAGAAGCTTCCATTTTTAGTCCCATTGTTCATAACAGTAGAACTGAGGCGAAGTTTTTAAATACCATTCTATTATACCAGTTTGTTAAAAAAGTCTGTAATCTTTAAATTTTATTTTCTTTGGAAAACGACTTCTGAAATTGGGCTATTTTTTTTTTCTGACTGTCCAAGTATAACTGAACTTGCGACCGCCTTTTTTAATAGGTATAGAAAAAACAACAATTTTTAGGCCAACGGGTGCGAAAAATCCGGGTTGATCTGGATTATACTGAGAATACTAAGATCTGCTAAAGAAACAACATAGGAATTCCATGCTAGTGTTCTTACAGGGGATGCTTCCATGAAGCAGGTGCGGCTGCGCTACAATATGAATGAGATGGCAACAAAATTAAAGTTTCAGCAAGTTTTTAGACAAAAGGCTTAAAAAAAGCTGTCACAAGTGAAATTTAAATTGACCTAAAAATGTTGCGGCGTGTGAAACGATGCGATATACTTATGTTGTAACTGCAGGCGAAATAGTACAAGACTTTTGATTCTTTGATCACTGTGATTAACCTGAGTTGTCGAGATGAATTCCGTTGTTTCCGCGATGTATACTGGCGTACAACGTACATTGTACGCTCTAAACTGTACATTCAGGATGTCCCTAGAGACTTCCTGAATGATATTATAAAACGAGGGAAATATTAGCGAAAAAGCTGAGGATTCACGACCTCACTTCCAATGATCATCATTTAGTACCCTCGCGACTAGATGCTTTGGAGGGAGCTAGGGATTCTGCTTATTCTGGAACCTGATTTTCGGGCCAAGAGTTTTTTAGATGGAACTTTGTTTTTGAAATTACATGGTTATGCTATGATTGTGTGTCGAAATGATATTTTTGTTGTATACGATTTTGCATTAGTGGCTCAGTAATTTTAACATGAATTTTCAGAGGAGCAGGATCCGCAGAGAAAGCAAAAATGCAAGACTTTCTGTCTTTGAATAAATTGCTTCTGCTCAAAAGCGCCTTTGCGTCAAAACGAACCATCATTCTGAAAAGTTAGAAATACTTCTTCTCACTCCCGTTTTCCCGCGCGCACACAATCGGGAAAGACTGACAGTCAGAATTTCAATCGGAGCAGCCATCTTTGGGGATTTTAGGGATTCCAGAATAGCTAGGAAAATCACGATTGCGTTATGCAATTTTAAGTGTGAAAAAAGAGAATAATTTTAGAAAAGAAAAAATTGTTATTCCACATTTTGAATAGCATAACGAACAAACAATAATTAAAGCAATTAATTCAGGGGATTACTGATATGTTTCCAAAAAAAAAACGGCTGAGTTACAGCATCGCTGGTTTCTCGCATCATTTTATTTCCGAGGTTAAATTGCTCTTGCAGAACGTTGTCACTTCATTCAGAGCTGGAAGTCGGCCGCTCCGTGATCCAGACTTTCCACTAACCGTAAAAAAAAATTAAAACCGGCGTAGCTGTAGCTTAATCAGGCACTTCCTTAATGACCTGCATAAAACGGAATACTCTGCAGTACAAATAACGTGCAATGCATCGTTACGATCACATCACGAAATAAAGCAAGACGGTACATATTACTCGCTTTGAAGTCCTGGGTGGTGCCTTGCGCAAAAGCCTTGATAGCAAGAACGGACATATAATACTTGTTCTGGAGAGAAGGGAATTAAGGTAGCTACGCGAAGCTGCACCTGGCAAGTAAATGGGCAGAGTGCCATAGTTCTGAAGATTCAGATCTTACTTTGATCAGCTGCAATTCATTGCATGTTTCTCGGAAGACCTTAAGAAAAAATACAATTTACAAAACAAAGATCTCCGGAAACTTAAACAACTTAATTTAGAAGATACAATTCTTGGGAAGCTCAAATTAGAAAACACAGTTTGCGAGAGAAAACAGATAATTCTTGAACAGCAGAAATTGGCGATAAATAATTTGAGCAACATGTAAAACTAGAAATTCATGGCACTAACAGTAATGCATTTTTCAGCTCATAATAAAAACAGAAAACGCAGTTCAGCAAAAAAGGCGTCAAATGGCACGGGAAGACAGAAAATCATAAAGTAATGATGAAATTTAAAGCTTTTGATAAAGCAAAACCGGATTTTCTTGGCGTGCCAAGATGCAGAAAATCAAGTCAAGATACTCTTTTCAGTGTTAACGTTTTATGTGACTTTATAGACACATTCCTTTTCAGAATTAATTCCTCAGTTCTCCAGAATTCCTCAAAAGACGATACATCCTTCCCACCTTTTCGACGACCAGAAATTAATATTTATTATTTACCTACCAACCTGCCGGCAGTACTGTTATGGTGGAGAAGATGGTTCGATTCCGCCAGTAGGACAACCAGTCTCAACAATTCGTTCTTTCATTTCGATGGCAAGTTGTTACTGGCATATGTCGAGGGAGTCAAAGCTGCCGTCAGCTCGCTTATAAGTAACTACTGAAGGAGGGGGCCATCGATGCTAGAGCTGTTTGCTGTTGGCGTTTGTTACCGCAGGAGCTAATTCCTGAGTGCCTTTGCTCCTCCCGGAAAACGAATATGGGGAGCTTTTAACTTTTCGGTTAAAATAGTGTCCTAATTCTTAATCCTAATCTAAATAATAGTTTTTAAGAGTGACACCAGTATGTACCAGACTGGCAAGGCCTGTAAAACTAATTTTCTGAGGGGGAAAAAAAAACTCGGTCAGGTGCAAAAGAAGGGCACGCTTCCACTATCGGTATGTTAACGTTTGAAGCAACATCTCAATATCGATTCCGGTAAAGCCGTAAGCAAAACTGGAATTATAAACAAGCTGTGTAGCAAACCCAATGATACCACCAAAACAATAGCTTTTGATATTACTGCATAGGCGCCAATAGGCGAAAATAGCACCGGCAGCATAACCAGGAAAGTTGATAAACCGGCCTGAAAATGGATCACATAAATGCAAACTTCGAAGGAGGCAGAAAGGAAATTTGAGGAGGAGGGAAAGAAAATGAAAGTTAACCATTTTGTTTTTTCTCAGAAAACATAGAAATCTCTCGTGCAAAGAACGAGGTGGAAAAATTAAGTTTAGAAGCACAAAATTCGCCAGGTGAGTCAGGATTCAAGCAAAGGCAAAAGAAGTTACATCACGCGGAAGAAAAATTTTGCAATGAAATGAATGAAGTCAGTTTTGAGGAAATAAATTGCGTCGAAAAAACAAAGACTTTGGAAAAAGTTATTCCGAAGTTTCAGAACGACGATTATAGCACCCAGTAGCAGCAGCCATATATGAAGATCAGAAAAAAAAATTCGAAATCGCAGCAAGAACAGGCAGAGTCAAACTCCACTTCGTAATATTCTCAGTGAAGGGCAGAAGCATTTGAAAGCGTCTCGAGTGTTGATACATCCCAACAGCAGCCATCAGCTGGAAAGGCTCCCTGTTGGCCTATTGGCAAAGTGGGCCAAAAAGACTCCAGCATAGGAGCCACTACTTATGTTTGATGGCTGAAAAAATAGTCAAAAAAAATGGTTAAAAAATCAGAATACTTTACTTGTATCAAGGACAGTGCACAGTCATGCAACGCTGCGTCGATCCTTTCAGCTTTATCGCTAAAGCTGTGGTCGTTTGAAAGATAATGAAGGATGATGTGAACTGTGAAATCAATACTAAAACCAGCGCTCATTATTACAGATACCATCAACAATGGATCCAAAGAACATCCCCAAAAGTGCAAAAACCCAAGTACACCTGAAAGTTCAA